TGAGCTCCTCGATCTTCCTAAGATCGGCCTTAGGAAAAATCGGGAGCTCGCCAAATATGATTGGCTGTTTTCGACCAAGGGCGTTCCCTTGGTTCGCGAATCGGTGACCTTGCAGAAAAGGAAGGTTCCCCCAAAAAGCAACGATAGTGGAGGAAACCCTCTCCTCCAAGGTGGGGTACCTGGGGTCCACCCGCGCGCTGGTGACCCCATCGGTCGTTTATTACCCCTAGCGAGGGCCTGAGGCTTCCAACGTGTGCGGACCACGTGGAGCCCTCAGGCCTATTGTCAGCCAAGTCTTAAGAGCCGTCGCCTAATTTCGTTAAATTAGGGATTTCCAGGATTCTCGTGTTCCGCGACACGAGAAGTCAAAGAAAAAAGGTAAAGCAGTCAAACATGCTGAAGGCATGGAGCGGAAAAGTCCGATGCCGAATTGTTTAACCCTAAGTCCTGGCTGTTGAAAGACCGTAACGGGTCTTCCTTGTTCCACGACGGAACAGTGGAGTATAATACTATTTACACCCTGAAGTATGTCTTCTTCTACGTTGTTATATACCCGTGGATGACTACCATGATTTTCATAAAATAATTTGAACGAGCCTGTTTCTGCCAACGTTTGTTTTACTCTTTGGATCATCCGTACGTCGAAACGATGACGATTATTGATTGAATTTTTCTATACAGCCTATTTACAGCGAAAGCATTGCTACTGTAAGCTTCTAGTGCAAGCAAAATATCGACATACTTGCGATTATGTTGTCATTGCGATAACTTGTGATAAAGTAATACAAAATTCTACGATGGCTGTCGATTTTGTATTACTATGTTTTTGGTATTTATGAACCATACCGGAATCTATGTTTGCGAATACCAGTACCGATAAAAATAATTTAATTGCGAGATAAGGACAAAGTGTCTATCTTATATGAATTACTATAAATTTGCAAATTTAATTTTCTGGAAAACGAAACCTCGAGCGGAAAAACATTATATCAAATTGTTTGTTCACTTCTTTTTCAACGAGGAAACATCCCGTTTTTGTATCACGAAATTCATAGTCTTGAAATTAAATTGAACATTATACAGTAAAGGTTATACAATGATAAAATAATGACGCATTATAAATTACGCATAATAATAGATTATACTATGAAATTATAAAATAATACCATAAATGTTCTATTGCAAACGTAATTAATTTTATACATTTTTTTCGTTATTGTATAATGGTATTAATGGTATTAATTGCTATATTAAGCAATTTTGTATTAAATAGGAAACAGAATTATTTTTAATTTTTCAACGTGTAGATTATTTTCTTTTTGATATCTTATAATTTCATCGAAGAAAAGAAAGACAACACAATATTATAGTTATAGTTATATGGTTATACACAAATATAACAAGTCATTACTAATAAGACCTCTTAATAAATTAATTTGAAATTACGTAAGAAATTATAAAAATTACTTTTATTTTTAGATAATAAGGTGATTATTGCGTAGTTGATTATTACTGTATAATTTTTTCTCTGTTTATTAGCCCGCTGTATTAATAATGAATACAGAACTTTAACAACTATTTTCTGACAACAATAAAATTACAACATCTCCTAAACTAATGATTTTTTTAATATAAATGGCTTAAAACTTTCTTGCAAAGTATGTCAAGATGCATCGAATGACGCAATAAAAAATATATTATTCTATTTAAAAAAATATCAATGACCTTCAGATCTTCTCTACACGACTATCTACAAGAAAACTAGTACCGTTAAAATTTGTTCCCCTCGAAACTATTCAAATCCATGTCAAATATTTTACGCTAATAAATAATAATAAAGACGTAAACCTGAAAGGCAGAATATCGTGACACATACATCTGTATGTACATAGATGCAGTAATAGTACCTGCAAGTATTAGACAGTATCGGATAATAGTAGAATAATAAGTAGATATAACAATTCTCAAGATTCTCACGTATTTTATTGCATTATTTTACTCCAAAACATGCTTTCTAAACGTGTTGATGAAACAGTGCAATTACACATAATAGCGTTATAATATTACGCGTAATCTGAGACTTAACTAAGCCAATGAACGTTCGATTGTAATCTTCTTACATGTTGATCCAATGGCTGAATGAGTTGTTTCACATTTCACTTATAGTTGCTATTAATGACCTTCACAGTGAGCGTTCTAATAATACTATGCACTGTTGGATATACATTTCCTTCATCCATTTCAGATGTCTCGATGACATAAAATAAAATATAAAATAGTCCCCTCTAAGACCATGATTATACCACGATTAATATTATGGCACATTTTGTCTACATTCTCTATACATTCAAGTGATCGATGTATTTTACTCTAACAGTTTTCTTTGATCTTCTGCATTTGTTGTCAGTTAGGTACTCTATTGGTTTTCTTTATATCGAAATTAGCCATGCTCGTAAAAAGAATTATCAATCAGAAAGTGGCAAGGCGAAATAAAAATGGATCATTTGGATAGAATAATAGAGGATTAAAAGGGTATAAATTCAGGATAGCGTTTGCGATTACGAATGTTTAGGATCGTTCATTGGCGTAGACTATCCATTTTAAATGATGTTTCAACGACTAAATAATAGCTTCTCATAGGCTATTAAAATATAGACGAGTAAATTGACATAAAGTGCCAAGTAATTTTTTCTGTGAGAAAATTATAGTCATTCCGTAGCGTTTGATAAAACTGTGTGAAAACATTACTGGCTTTGATGTAGTTCGGTATATGATCCATACAAGTATGAATCCAATGTTCTCTTCTTCCCATTAATTTTTAAGCGTACTATTTGATGTCATTTCTATTCAATGAAAACAGAATCGTAATAATTAATACTGTAGTTATAAAATGGTTTCCAGTTATACAGATTATTAGCATATTTTGCATAATGTAATTCACAGATGGTATAATGTAACAGAACTATTTATTAGACTGACAGATGATTTTATGCTAATTTTCTCATTCTTGTTAATGACATATTTGTCAAACATTGTACGCAGTACAAGTGATTCTTACATGACAATGTCTGAGATATGCGTTCTGAACGATGACTGACACGATATACGTAATATATGCATGACAAGTATGTATACAACACGTTGCAATTCTTATTAATTAATTCAGGAAGATGAGTTTGCTTTTTCATCGATGACTTTCTCTGTTTTCTAGATTGCGAATCTTTTTGTCAAAAGATATTACTTGCAGATGTCAGTTGATTCATTCAATTCCTCCGTTTCCACTTTTAACAGATTCGCTGAAGTAAGTAGTTTATTTAAATTGTAAGCAGTGAACTATGATTCGTGTTAGCTCCTGAAAACAAGACTATCGACGAAGAAGTTATCGCTATAAACGATACGAATTTGTCGCGTCGCGTCGCGATCGAAATTCTCGTATTTCCGACGGGTTGTAAGGCCGTCTCGCGAATACGACACGTGTTGCCCGCCAAATTAATATTGGGCAACTGTTTAAGTTGCACGAGCGGAAAAGAGTCGTGTCTACGACGTTCGAGGTTTCGAAAAGAACGTGGCGTGTTGTTGATTTGAATCGGTTAGACGGAGTTTCTGAAGAGAACCGACGTCTCTCAAATTTCGTAC